TTTTTGCTTTTAACAGATAAATTCGTGTTAATCTAGTACAACAGTCAATAAAAGTAACAAATTATCTATGACAAGAAAGAGAGGTATTCTGAGTAGGTTCCCACACATCATGATGAATAGTCTTAAAAGGATCAATACTTCTATTATTACTTAAATGATAAGAACTTCTCTTATGTTTAGCAAGTTCGCATGTATCACAAAATAAAGACTCCATAGAAGTTCTTTTAAATAACTTAGGATATAATTTTTCTAAAACAAATAAGGAATGATGTTCCAATCGTCAGTGTCATTATAATATCTCCATATTGACTTCTTTATTCCCAATGGTTGCTTGATTTTCAATTAAGTTCAGATGTCTATACGAGACATATAAGCCATCTTGCAGTCTACTAGTGTCAATCTTCTTCTCGGTTTGAAGATCCTGAAAGATACAATGATTAGAAAAAAGTTCAATTTTACAGTTGAGATCTCTAGTTATGACACTAATAGATAAAAGATTATTAGAAAAACTAAACATATGTAAAACTGAAGACAGTGTAATAGTAGGAGTACAATTAATGGAATCTGTTCCCGACATGGGAGTGTATGACCCATCTGCTATATGAAGATTATCCCCTTCAGTATAAGAAGAATAGGTTAAGAATTCTTTAGAAGAGCCTGTCATGTATCTGTTAGTTTTAGAGTCTATGATTCAATTATCAGGAGTGGAAATAGAATGAACAATACCTGATTTTACTATATTTGATGTGCCAACAGTTGATGGAGAGTTAAGTTGACTCAGAAGATGCTTCAAATTTTGGATTTCTTATGTTGAAAAGGCTCCAATGGATGGTGAACTAGGTGTTTCCCTAGTTTCAATAAAATTTGTTTGAGCTCTTGTGGTTCCACCTCTTATTCCTCCCCTACCTCTAATTGGTTTTCCTTGCAACTTCCAACAAGTTTTCCTAGTGTGTCTTGGCTTGTCACAATAGTCACATTTTCATATATCTCTAGATTGATCAGACTGAGCAATTAATCCAGCTTTCTAAACTAGTACAATGTGAAACATGACATTTCTTCTACTCTCTTCTTGTTGAACATAAGCATAAGTTTGTTCTAATGAAGGAAAATGATATTTCCAAGCATTCGGACCTGTATTTGCTCATATTCGTGTTCAAATCAGCTAAAAAATTATAAATTCGCTCTTTTTCTATCAATTTCTGAAATTTAACTGCATTTGCACTCTGCTTGAAAATTTTGATAGTAATCTAACTTTTGCCATAATCCATTTAGTTCAGAAAAATATTGAAAAATAGTTATCTCTCCTTATTTTGTGCCATGAACTTTATTCCAGACTTCATAAATTTGGTCATCATTACCTATCTGTAAATATGTAAGAGATGTTGCATTGTATATTTTTTTGGTAGTGTTAAACAACATATATGTTATGGTAATATAAGGTTATATAGAATTTATGAGCCATGACATTACCAATGAGCTCTCAAAGTCCCATATATTATATTCTAAATTTCTAACATCTTATTTTTTTACCTCACCAGTAATGTAACCCTACAATCCTCTAGATTTGATGAATAGTAAATAAGATCTCGACCAAGTAAGATAATTAGTTCTATCAAGTTTTACGGGACTAATATATAATGAAGGATTATCAAAGCTAGTAACACTCACTTTGTTTGTTTATGTCATTTTATAATGCTAAAAATAAGAAGAAAAAATATCCAGTAATAAAAAATAGACCTCCTATCTGCACCAAGGAGCCAAAAAAATGGAACCAGATCTGGTTCGGTTCTAAACGGCTCAAGTTTAGTTATAAAATGGCTAAGACTCGGCTCTAAAACGGATCAAAGTCGGCTTGGCTCGTCTTCTCTGGATAGATCTCTGAATGTGTGCAGAAAAAGGTAACGGTATGGCCTTTTTTACATGCATCCATTGGTGTGCGGTTGTAATTTTTTACTAATATTTTTGGATGTGATCCTTAAATTTTTACCAGCGTCTCCGGATATGCGGCTTCAACTTTTTACTGGTGCTTGAGGATGTGCGATTGTAACTTTTTACCAGCGTTTATGGTTGTGTGGTTGTATATTATTACCGATGCTTTCAGAGGTGCGGCTGCACTTTTTACCGACGCCTGCGAATGTGCGGCTTCAATTTTTACCGATGCCTGCGAACGTGTAGCTTCAGTTTTTACTGGTGCTCTAATACCATGAAGATTTTTATAGAAAATAAACTTTTAATTTTCTCATTCCTTGTTTTGTTTATAGTTAGAAGATATATATATAGACTAGTTATCCTTATTCTATTTGAACTCTAACTATAGGATATAATTATACTATTAAAATTATAAATAATATAATATTCTAATTAACATAAAATCCTTATCAACAATATGTTTTGCATTGATATTGTAACATTCGAACCCCAAATAAATTAAAAAGATGTAAACAAATAATTAAATTGGGATTAGGGTCTAAATAAAAGGAATTTTAAAATTTTGAGGGTTTTTTTTATTAATTTCAAGGATTTAACTAAAAATAGGTAAGAAAAAGAGAGGTAAAAGCATAACGAAATGAAAGTGGAATGGGGCAAAAACAAATTAGAAGATGGATGGTCCTAATCGAATCGTTTGAGGGATCCAACGACTGAGATTTTATTCAAGTTAAACGACCTAAATCTAGCCTTGCAAGATCCAATGACCCAGGGAGACGGGTATCTAAAGAAAATTTTAGGGTTTCTTCTTCATTTTGAGAAGAGAAGCCGAAAAAGAGAGAGAGGATGAGAGAGCTAAGTTCGAACGGGTAAGCTGAGAGGAGGCCGAAAGGAGTGAGAGCCGAATGAAAGAGAGAAAGAGAGGAAAGGAAGAGGGCAGCTGGAGAAGAAGAAAGGAGAGAAAGAAATAGTCAAAATCGGGAGGGAGAGAGAAAGAGAGTGCATAGCTGAAGCTGAACGGAAGAGGAAGGAAGGAAATCGGGCTGAGGAGTACCATGTGATGATGGAAATCGAGCAAATACGTAAATCTCGTCCTTTTCGTCTTTCATCATTTTCATCTACTTTTCCTTCAATCCATTTTCCTATTTCGCACTAACTGGTATGCAGGTATGAAATCTGTCATCTAAACTTCGAAGCAAACAAGGGGAATTGTGGGAAACCAAAAAGACCATCCGGAGTTGAACCCGAGGTTGAATTGCACCACACTGGCGCAGGTAAATTGTTTTTCGTGATTAATTTGGTTTTAGGGTGATGGAGGCGAGCGGTTGGTGTCAGATTGGTCATGCGAGCTCGACCTAGTTGCTCACCCACGCAAAAACCAAGGAGTCTTCCTCGGGTACGAGAACTCGATACCCTCGGGTTTGGAAACAGAGATCGTTATGGAGTAATTGCTCACTCTTATGTGGTGAGCTGGGCATCCCGTCGGGTTGTCATTGGAACCCGTGATTTAGGTTGAATTTAGCCCCTGTTTAATATTTAGATTGCATTAATTAATCTGTATCGTGTGTGTACCATGAAACAAGACGTTCAAACAAATCTACGAAGGTTCAAGCAGATCTAGGAAGGTCGTTGCGCAAAAGGAGTTATAAGTATTTTTTATTTTGAATCTAGATTAGAATTTTGAATTTATATATGTATATTGTAAATTTTGTGTGTGTTTTAAACATAAAATAAATACTAACCCGATTTCTCGATTAAGAACAGAATCCGGACCTATGACGAGTGAACTCTAACTTATTTGAAATTTATGAGGATATGGAGACCATGAAAATTAAAGACTGAGAAATACTTGAACTAATGATAAGAAATAAAATTTAAATTTAAAAGAAATCACAAATAAAGCAGAAGGTTGAGAAAAAGAAATAACGTAAGAAAATGAATAAAAATAGAAGGAAAATGATTATGGTTATGAAACGATTAATTTAAATAAAATTTAAAAGAAAAATAAAATAAGAGGGAAGTAAATAAAAATTTAGAAATGAGAGGATGTGAGTGAATATGATATGGACATTGAATACCTTCTCGTTTAGTCTGAATCGAGGAGAGTAGTGTGTGTGTGTGTAGCTGTAATTCAGCGGACATGGTGAACTTGCACATGTATAGAATTTGAAATCTAGTTCAGACGTGGATATGTGTTTGTGAGTGTGGGTCATCTAGCAAACGTAACTAATGTGATCATTGTGAGATTTTGTGTGTGTGTTATCCATGCGATGGAGGGATCTATTTTGTTTCTCCTCGATGACAACATAAATGACATTGCACGATAAAACCTTAGAAATAATATTTTGAGTGCATATATGATCTTTAGAGTGTACGTGATTATATTTCGAGATTATGAATGATGTTCGAGAGTATATAAATGTTCTTTCGAGTTTATGTGGTAATATTTCGAGGTTATAAATGATATTCGAGTGTAACTGAGGATTTTGATGGAAAAAATATGTGAAATTGGAATGTCCGAAATGATTGCATTTAATAAACAAATTCTATGTTAGAAAATGGTAAAAATAATAAATAAATAAATTTTACATTGAAAATATTACTACTGCATTTGTCTCATATTGTGTGTTTTTACATGAAATCTTATATGGTTTGAAAAAATGAAAATACTTATTGAGTTGGTAAAACTCATTAAAATTCACCATGATATTTTTCAGATGAGAAAGAAGAGTCAGAACCGCTGTCGGACGAGTACTACTTGTGAAAAGGTTCATGTTCATGTATATTTTATTCATATTCTAGAAATTTTCGTTTTGTTTTGTTAAATTCTAAATTTTGATTTTATATTTTGTATATATAACTACTGTATATATCACATGAGATGTTAGGTTGTATGTTAAATTTTTGAGTTATGCATATGCATATTTTGTGGACACATTGTATGAAAATGACATGAATAAAAATTGCGCCTCATATTGAGTTAGGGTATTACAGGTATTATTTAATTTCATTTTGTTTTTCTGTGAAATATAGGAAAATTGGACAACCTTCAGTTGATTCAAACATGTGAAACCATCTTTCTTTGTTACATATCCCTTTTCTCCTTTATGCTCGAGCGAGATTAGACGCATCCCTCTAGACCCATTACTTTTCTTCATTTGGGTTTAGAGAGAGAGAAAAAAGAAAAAGCATCCAAGGAGAGGGGGGAGTCTGGGACAAAAAAAAAAAAAGCATCAGGAATAGTTTTTGATATTTATAAAATTAGAATTTTTTGTTTTTTAATAATTATTTTAAATTAATACAAGTCAATTGTTAGAAAATATTTAACGTGAATTAGTAGCCTATAAAAAATAATTAATTATCCATACTAGCTTGCTCAAAAAAATCAATAACTTAAAAAGAGGTAAATGATAGGGAGAGTCATTAAGAAAGAATAAGAGGATACTATACCTCAAATGCAGACAAAAAGCATTACTCATTAGCTACTTGTTACGGGGAAGAAACCCCTACTCAGCCTTATAATCAGCGATTCCAGCGGAACACGTGGCAGAAGGAGAAACGTAAATGAATGAATTAGACGATAGACATGCCGAAGAAAAGCAATAAAACATGGCGAAGATGTCTCTCTACCTGGCTTTTGGTTGCAACGGTTGAGGGTATACATCCTTGCGGCTGCAATTTGCTAAACCTTGTTTCCTACCAACCTAATCAGGGTGTCTACCATACAGTGCACTGAAAGTACCATTTCTCCACGTAATAATTTAGTAGTTTTGTATAATCATTAATTACTTGATACTGTAAATCTTTTTAATTAGTAAGAAATGGTTAATAAATTATTATAATGTTATACCTATTTTGCTCATCTAATACTTGATGCAATGGACTTGAAGATTTATTTTTCTGCCAGCACTTTGTTCCAATCTTCTTATTTAGTGATATAATAAAATACTTCTTAAATTATTGAAAACCTTTCCTTTAATCTAAGCTACTTAATTACTCTATTGATATCTACTTGAAATGAACACTGAACATAATAGTTTAAATTATAAAATGGTCATAATAAATATATATCTCTAATTCTTTAATGAAAAAAATTTATCAAAACACCTAATTTATTTTTTTAAAACAAAAAGTTGTCTGTTATGATTGGATTAGAATATCTATTTCTTCGAACAATTTCAAACACCCTTGAAAAAACATGTTGTAAAACTAGAGCAAATTAAGCAAAGGAAATCAACAAGGGGCAAAAAGTAAAGAAAAACAGGGAACGACGCTAATCTTTTATTCTATAAGCGGGAAGAATAGTAATTTTATTACATCAACTATGCGGAAAAAGTAATACAAGAAAGGGGGCATTATCATACCACATGCTGCAAAATTGGTTGATTGAGTACTCTAATCGTCATGACGACAAAAATTGGCAAAAGCTACCTGTTTGTTGAGTGCCATTAAAAAAATACGTCTATTGAGTTTTGAACAAGCTCGAGGGGACCTGAAAGAAGAAAATTGTGTTTAATGAGTCATGGCTAAAAGTTTAACTTTTTTTTTCCCTAATAGAAGGCTTAAAAATTCACTATTTAATGACAATGAAGTTTACATTGGGCACTAGCCCCACTGATACTTCCATCTCTCCCCAAAATGATTTTACATCTAAGAAAAAATAAATAAAGATGCTGTTTAGGAGAAAAAAAAAATATCTTAGCAGTTTATGAAGTTGTTCGTACAGAGAAACAAGCCAGGTGCCTGGATAAACATATTAAATTGAAATTCTTTTGATGCGAACCCAATCTATGATATTGGTTTTGTATGCATCATCTTATCATTTCAAGAGCCAAATCCTAGGTAGTTCATCACATGAAGCATGAGTCTGGTTATTTGTAGAAGCAACAAAAATACGGCAAGAAAGCAGGCATATTTGCCTTCAGTATGGTTTTCCAACAAAAGAAGTTCAATTCTTCAGTGCGAAAATTTATATGTGGTGCTATACCAGAGTGTAATCATGATTATGCTTTTCTGAAGCATGGAATTATAGCTCCAGAGGAGTTGTATCATCTCATATATGATTTTTGCAATAAAAAAGGTTTAGCTGGCAAAAATTGGATGCAAAAGTCTGGGCAGGAAGGAGAAATTGGCAAGTTGGAATAGTGGCCCAGGCTTGACTAAAAACTAGTTTCTCTTCAGAAAATGGTGTTTCTACTGAAGATGGTCCACGTGCTACCAGACAAATAACAGACTTCCAGCTTCCCAAGCCTGCTCAAAATTGGAGCAATATGGAATTTCTTCTCACCTCATTCCCCCACAGAGTCATGCATCAAAAATGATTTGTGATGACAGAACAAAACAAAGAAAAGATCCTCTAATCGTTACCATAACTAGTCAACTCATTTTGTCGAGATTATATATGACTTATGAAAGAAAAATACTCCCAAGCAGGAAAAAGACTAATGAGCTCTACATACCTTTATATGATGTGGCATGATCTTGACATCGAACGGCACATGAAGCCAAGCTTCAGGGGAGTGGAGCAAAAAGTTATCCGGCTTACTGGTGTATACATCTGCATATTGATGGATATGATAGGCAAAAGCAGATTCTTGCCCCGTGTCAGTGACAAAGGTGGCCCCAAATGATTTATTAAACATCCCCTTCATAACTTGACGGGCCTTCTGCCTCTCCTTATTTAGCTCAATCAGAAGTGTCCTGTATGCTTCATTTCTCTCACTATCGGGCACAATTGCATGCAACCTACCAAGTAATTCTTGTATGATATGAAATTTTGCCTGCATTAGTGAAGAGGATAGTCAAAGGAAATGAACCAAGCATATCATCAACCAGAAGGAACTTATAGTCTGACAATGGATGATTCATTAAACGTATCAAGAAACCTACTGATCAAATAAATGATTTGAAGTTATCATCTTTCATGGACAAGGCCACAGCAAAAACTTAGCTAAGTTCTACACCATCAAAGTATGGTCAATATTTATATTGAATAAACCTTTGCTACAAAACTAAATGGTAATACTTCTTTTTTGCAAATCAGAAAGGATACGAGGAAATTGTCAATGTAAGAGAAGACCTCAAGATAAAATGATCAAGGGAGCTCCAATTCACTAGAGAACCAATTCTAGGATGGGGTTAGATAAGTTCAATACTTAAAACTTAAGGTGCATTCTGGAAGTTCACCAAGTGCTTCGTAAATAAGGAGTACAGATTGATTCACATCATGGACATAAATAAACTTAAACCATGCAGCACAAAGCCACTGGCTTATGGTCAGTTATTATAACCATATTTATTTAGCAGAACCTATCATTTATCCAGTTAAGTTACATCAATTGGTCAATTTTTCAACAGGTTTTGATTAATCAATAAGAATTAGAATGAAATTTTCAGATATTAACCAAATAGCTGCATATAAATTTTTTAGAGGGCAAGATTATTCTTCTGATAAAGTTAGACCCATCCAAGTGAATTTATATTGCTAATCATTACAATTAATAACATGATATATACAATTCAAACTATAGCATATGGAGGTTTAAGTTTAATTCTTGAATAGGTTAGTGCAAAGATGCATTCAAAGACTAAAAAAATTATGTTAATACGTGAATATAAGGACTAAAAAAAAATATAAAAAACATATAAAACCTTATCAATTTTGCCTAGTCATAGTCCAGTCAACTAGTGATTCACAGGAGAACATATTACAACATTGCCAATAAAAAACCGAAAAAAATGAACAGATATCAGTTTAAGAGCAAATACCTGTTCAAAGCGATAACTATCCTCATTTTGTATGTGTATTTCATTCTGCATCAAGTAATAAAACAACCTGAAAAACTCAATACGAGAAGAACCTAATTTGACATTCCAGTAACAATTTAGACATATCAACTACAAAACAAATTTAAAGAAGCAGAATGATCATCTAGAAAAACTTCCACAGGCATATCCTAACCAAACACGGATTTAATCCATAGTTGCTGTAGTAAGATTTGTAAAAGAAAAATTAACTAGCAAACACCATTAATCAATCAATATTTTTATACTTTCACCTTTCTCCTCTACTGATGCAAATTCACCATAATATTAGAAATAATCTGGAATTTTCTTCTTCTTTCGTGCTTTTGTTTTCAACTACACACAGTTGCTTATAGCTTTTTGGTCTAAGCTGGGTGATGGCTAGTCAGTTGAGGATTAAACATGGACTTGGAGAAGGCAACAGAATTGATAAGCATAATGAGAAGATTTTAGCTCTTGCCCCCTCGGCTAGCTTATAGGCAATTTGGAAGGAATGAAATAGAACAACTTTTAAACGGTATCGAGAATAATTTGACAGGTTTAAGATTTCTGGTTCTGGACCCTTTCGTTCCCCAAGGGTACTAATGAACATTGATAATAAATGCACAAATGATATTTTAAAATATGCCCAATGTACCAGGCTCAAGAAATTTCAACATCAATCAATCGCACAATATCCAAGTACTTAGGCAGATACTAATACAGCTCAATCAGTGAAGTGTTATAAAGTAATTTCAAGAGAAATTCTTAGCTCGTCCATAATCTAAAACCTTAAAGCTATGCTTCCTAAATTGTCTATATTCAAATTGATCAACTACATGCAAATAAAGAATGCATAGAACAAGAGTAATGCTTCTGTATTCTAGGGTAACTCTGCCCAAGACTTGGATACAACAATTTGATCCAGGAAAATGAAAGACTTCCCAGTAATAAAGCAGTGAACAAACCACATAGCTGGGACAGATTCAGAACTAAATTTTAGAAGATAACATCACTGTGCAAAAAAGAAGAAAGCTGGAAGAAAGGGCCAGAAATTTCAGATAAATAACAGGTTGCCAAAGAATAACTGTCTAGTTTGGTTGTTTGCTTTGATGATTGGAAATACGACTGCTGGTCTTAGCAGCAAGAAGGATTTGCATGTTGCTATTTCATGGGTTTCAGGTTTCTCTAGCTACTTGGTTGTATGATCAAGTCTGCTGCAAAATTCTGAATTCGTCAAGGTTAATCAAGCAAATTAGATTTTAGAGGATTCCCAAAGAAATCAATCAAGCAGCTGTTCTGCATGTTAAGGGATGTAATTCCACATTTACCAATATGAGTCTCTATCAGTTTATATATTTGTTGGACAACTCTTCCTAACATTATATGGTTTTGGGTTAGAAATCTAACATGATATCAGAGTCACTTTTTGCTTTATGGCTTAATCATGTATAATATTCTATCAATAGTTTATACAATTATTGGACAACTCTTTTAACACCATAGGTTTTTCATTAGAATCTAACACTGTTGACAAGGCTGGGGTCAAAGAAATTCCGACATATCTTATTGGCAGTAATGTTTCATTTTGGTTGGATGAAACCAATAAAGAAAATGCAATTTTGAAATTTGTAATTTCAACTCTAGGTTCCAATATATTTAGCAATCAGAAACATCAAGATCCTCCAAAGAGGACCTAAAACAGGGAAGCTCTAGGAGTTGATGCAAATTTTTGTTGGCACTTCACATTTTTTCTTCTGCCTAAATGCCGACTTAAGATCTGTCAAATAAATAGTAATAAAATAAGAAAAATATATCCAAATAACTTAAAGAAACTCCAATCTACAAGTCAGGATATAGGTGCCAAAGGCATTTTAACTGAAAAACATGAGACATACTTCTAATTCATGGATGATGGCCGCAGTCCGCCAACCAGCCTTTGAAGGTCCTCTTAGGTCACTAAATAGGTGATCCCCAAAGTATATCACCTGAAAGGGGACAAAAATTGTAAGGGTACCATGCAACAAACAAGAAAATAACTCCTCAAGAAAATTATTAGAGAGACTGATAAAAGCTACTGGAAATTCTAATAGTTTCACAAACATGCTGATGAAATTTACCATCTGAATTAATTTTAAGTTTATGATAAAAGCAAGATATACCTCAGGGCCGTGCCACTTAGTAATCTGGAGAAATGATTTAAGACATCCTTGGTAATAGATTTTATCAGGAAGAAATGAGTCCACCTTCGTAAAAGCTAAAGTATCCTTCTCTGTGTCATAGCAACTACAAAGTATTTCCACAGCCAAAAAAAAAATCAGTAATAGTTCACTGCAAACCAAAAGCAAAAATTTCACATCAGCTGTGTGTTTGAAATTGCAATTTTTAAAAAGAATGACAACAGAAGTTGAAAGGCAGCAAACTATCACTTTATCAGAAAGAGAAGTCAAAGCTAATTACTTAAAATAAGTACTGAAATCCCTTGTGTTACTGGAAAGAATTTTTGTTTCTTGTTCTGTCTCCTACAATTTTATCTTGCAGATAAGATATCTGGGAACATAAAGATTATCATAAAAAGCAAAGATCAATTTCAGTCATTTCCAATTCTAACAGCATATGTAATCAGTTTTCAATCAATTTAATACTTCCTGTTGGAAAGTCTATTTGTTGGAAAATGTATTTTATAATATGTAGGGTAAAGGATACATTAATAATAAACCCTTCTCATGTAAGTAATAGTATTCCCTTATATTGTTCACAAAAACCTATATATATATATATGTGAGGCACTATTTTTAAATGTTTTAGAGCTAATAATGTTCAAGATTACTTCAACGAGACTTTAACCTCCTTTCAAAAGGAATGAATTATCCATGAGTCTTCTTATGTCCATACTCCACAACAAAATGGAGTTGCAAAAAGAAAAAAACAACTTTTTGACTACCGCACATGTTTTCTTGTTTCAAAACCATGTACCTAAATATTATTAAGTGGAAGCCGTTTTAAATGCCACATATCTTATCAGCCGGTTACCTTCTAAAATACTACTCTTTGAAATCTGATAGAGGTTCTAGCTATACTCTTTCCTGAAGTACAAGCCACCAATAACCTTATCCCTCATGCCCTTGGGTGCATTGCTTATGTTGACATACATAACTCTCGAGAGGAAAACTCAAGTCAAGACCATTAAGTATGTATTTATGAGATATTCATCCACTCAAAAAGGATACAAGTGCTACCACCGATCCATAAAGAAATTTTACTTACGTTGACTTTTGTTGAGATTGAGTTTTTTTTTTTTGACAAACTTTATCTTCAAAAGAAGACTATACTAGAAGATAAGAGAAACTCAAGAGACTCATTTTTTGACATTCTTCCTCTATTGTTAAACACTTTGTATATAATATTAGCCCACCATTTCACCAAAAAATTAGAACCCACAAAATTAGGTTAAGCCTCAAGCCTTACAAGATGAGTCTAAACCTCAACTCGTACAGGACCCATGTTTCACCCAAGTGTATTCAAGAAAGAAAAACTCCAACTCTAGTCCAAAGAAGGTTTAAGATTCTGAGTTGAGCACTGGAAGTGAGATGGAACCTGAGAATCACTCTTCTTTTGATACTGATAACCTATTACACTTAGAAAAATGACTATAAAATGCACTAAACATTCGATCTATCCAATTTTCAACTTTGTGTCTTTTGAAAACTATTCTCCTGCTCAATAAAAAATATCGATCCCAACGACATTATCTGAGGTTTTAACTAATGAGAAATGAGAAAATATTATGATCTACCTAATTTCAAGGTAGACACTTGAAAAAAAATTACACTTGTCAAGTAGTTGATCTACCTAAAAGGAAAAGAGTTGTGGGTCATAAACGGGTTCTCTACTATAAAATATAAAACTGATGGGACTATCAAGATACAAGGCAAGATTGGTGGCCAAAGGATATACTAAAACTTACGAGATTGATTATCAAGAGACATGCACCATTGTAAAACTGAATACCGAATTTATCCTACTAGCCTATTTGCTAATTTCAACTGACAATTGCAGCAATTTAGTGTGAAGTATGCTTTCCGCATGGGGAATCATAAGAGGAAATTTACAGGAAGATTTTCCCTGAATTTTCCAAATGAGAAGAAAATGATAAAGTATGCAAACTAAAAAAGTTATTATATGGACTTAAATAATCTCTCTGAGCATGATTTGAGGGATTTGCTAGAATAATACTATCTATGAACTATAGATAGAGTCAGAAAGATCACACATTGTTCATCAAACAATAGGAGTAAGAATTACAATGTAGCACCCGGAAAGGAGGAGGAAAAAAAAAAAAAAAAAAAAAAAAGAAAAAAAAAAAAAAAAAAAAAAAAAGGGGGGGGGGCCACGTCAGCAGCCACGTCAGCAGGCCCGGTCAGCAGTCCCGGCCAACCGGGGCCTGCCACGTGGCAAGATCGCATCACTCCAAAAGGAGCCACGTTGGCGATCCGCGTGGGTGCAATCCGACGGCCCAGATCAATCGCGCGATCGGACGGCCCAGATTCAAACGCACGGACGGCCCAGATTCAATCAAAAACGAACGGCCCAGATTAAAATGAAATGAACGGCTGTGATCAAAAGGCAAGGGGTTATAAATAGAACCCCCACACCAGACCACAAACCCTAGCCGCCAGCCGCTCGCCGGAGAAGACGAACCAGAGGCCGACCGCCGCCACCCGCCGCCACTCGCCGCCGCACCGGGGAAATTTCCGACCGCCGATCGAGGTAAATTTCATACCCCCGACTCGTTTTTCCCCACTGATTCCTCCTATGGCCAAATCGAAGCCGAAATCCCGGCCAAACGGCCGGAATACGCAGCCGAAGCCCAGCGGCGCCGCCGCGCCCCCTCTCGGTTTTTGCCTCCGACGAGGCCCTTCCCGGCCTCCGTTCGATGCAATTTTTATATCACCGTGATCACCATTCTTTTCTCTACAGGTTGACCGAAGCCAAATCACCAAAACACGAACCTCGCCGGAGGGTCGCCGTACCCGAGAGCGCCGCCACCGGTAAGCTCCGCTTTTTCGTGATTTTTTGGCCCCCCGAGGGCCCTAGGGTTGTTTTCTGACAAGGACCGATGCGAGTGTGGCCGAATTCGGCCGAAAACGGCCGAAAAACAGCCAACCCGAGGCGACTCGCCGCCGCCAGCGGCGGCGCCGTCGCCGGAGCACGGCGGAGCCGCCGTGCCGGAGTTGCGATTTGGGCCGAAAGAGGCCCTGGGCCTAATTTGGGATTTTTTTTGGAACACGTGCAGGTACTGTTAGTGTGTTCAGTTCCCCGAGAAAAATTCAGGGAAAATTAGGGACAGCCTGCAGGCGCACTGTGAATCGTATTCGGATCTCGAAAACAAGTAAGGACCCCTCACCCTATTTCCTATCACGGTATTAAAGTTCAAAATGATAAAACGGTATTTCTTGAATTAACGAATGTGTGAAATTGCTTAAGGTGGCTAATGGAGCCCGAGTCTAGTGTGATTGGTGATTTACTGTTATTTGGCCTGTTTACAGCTTTAAATGCAAAATGAGGTTTGATGTGTTCATTTTACAGATTTGTGTGCATATACTACGTTTTTATTAATCATGGGTTGAATGACTGAAAAACTGATACTGTATGTTGTCTGTTCGGCATGAATTACTGTTTTGCTTGTTTGTATGTGAATTGATGATGCTGACTGAGGAAAAGGAAAATGAAAGATTGTGTAGACTGATAATTGTATTATGGGGGTCAGCCTAACTAGATATCCTGGGAGATGGTGGACGGACCAGGTCCGTAGGGAACCCTACCGGGATTGTGGTCTCACATGCCGGACGGGGTATGGAGATCTTATGGTTTTGGCGCCCATACCGGACGGGGTATGGGGACGGCCCGTTTCACCCTCATACCGGACGGGGTATTGAGGTTTATGGTTTTGGCGCCCATACCGGACGGGGTATGGGGACGGCCCGTTTCACCCTCATACCGGACGGGGTATTGAGGTTCATGGTTTTGGCGCCCATACCGGACGGGGTATGGGGACGGCCCTGGAAACTGATTATGAATGTTAAAGGTTAACGGGTAGCGGAACCCCTATGGACCCCCACGGATACTAGTAGGCTGGTAAATGAGAAAAAGATATGTTGTACAATGATTGAAATTTCAAGGGGCGTGATAAGTGTTATGTTTTACAGTTTATATTATTCAATGATTATGATAATGTTATTGTTTTCTTATATTGTTTTCATAAATTCCACGAGGTAAGTGGA